AACCAACGAGAGTAAAAAAATGACAAAGAAAGGTACTACATAATAATAAAGCGTTCTATTCAAAAAGAAGACTTAACCATCCCAAAAATATATGCACTCAGCATTGGAGCACCCATATTCATAAAATGAGTACTTCCAGACCTATAAAAAGATGTAGAAACACACTCAATAATATTGGGTGGCTTCAACACCCCACTGAAAACATTAGACAGATTACTGAGGCAGAAAACTAACAAGAAAATTCTGGACTCTTGATAAAAAGTCCTCAAAAGCGATTGCAACAAAACAACCCTCAACAAAATAGGCATTGAAGGAACATATTCAAAATAATAAGAGCTAACCATGACAAAACTACGGCCAACATTATATTGAACATGCAAAAGCTGAAAGTATTCCCCTTGAGAATTGGAACATGAGAATGGTCCCCCCTCTTACCACTCCCATTCAACATAGTACTGGAAGGCCTAGCCAGAATAATCAAGCAAGAAAAATAAATAAAAGGCATCCAAATAGAAAAATAAATAGCCAAATTGTATTTCTTTGCTGATGATATGATTCCAGACCTAGAAAACCCTGAAAACTCTGCCAAAAGGCTCCTGGCACAGATAAAGTACTTCTGTAAAGTTTCAGGATACAAATCAATGCACAAAAATCAGTAGTATTTCTCTACACTAAAAATCTTCAAGCTGAGAGTCAAATCAAGATTGCAATCCCATTTACCATAGCCTCAAAAAAAACAAACAAACAAACAAAAAAACTAGGAATACAGCTAACTAGCTATCTAAAAAAGGAGGTAAAAGAGAACTGCAAAACACTGCTGGAAGGAATCATAGATGATATAAATAAATGGAAAAATATTCCATGCTCATGGATAAGAAGAATCAATATTGTTAAAATGATCATACTGCCCAAAGCAATTTACAGATTCAACCCTATTTCTATCAAGCTATCAATGCCATTTTGCACAAAACTAGGAAAAAAAACTATTTTAAAATAATATATAATCAAAAAAAGAGCCCAAGTAGCAAAAGCAATATTAAACAGAAAGAACAAAGCCAGAGGAATCACACTACCTGACTTCAAACTATACTATAGAGCTAAAGTAATCAAAACAGAATGGCAATGGTATAAAAACAGACACATGGACCAATGGAATATGATTATTCTGGCTAGAATAGAGAATCCAGAAATAAAGACATGAAAACTAAAGCCATCTGATGTTTGACCAAGTTGGCAAAAATAAACAGTGGGGAAAGGACTCCCTATTCAATAAATGGTGCTAGGATAACTGGCTATCCATATGCAAAAGAATAAAACTGAATGCTTACCTTTCACCATGTACAAAAATTAACTCAGGATGGATCAAAAATTTAAGCGTAAGACTTCACACTACAATAATCCTGGAAGAAAACTTAAGAAACACCATTCTAAACATTGGCTTTGGGAAATAATTTATGACTAAGTCCTCAAAAGCAATTACAATAAAAAACAATAATTGACAAGTGGGACATAACTAACTAAAGAGCTTCTGCACACATGTAAAGAAACTATCAACAGAGTAAACAGACAACCTGCAGAATTTAAGATTTGCAAACTATGCATGCGACAAAGGTCTAATATCCCAAATCTACAAATATCTGAAACAATTGAACAAGCAGAAAACAAATGAAACTTTTAAAAATGAGCAACAGACATGAACAGGCTCTTCTCAAAAGAAGACATACAAGCAGCCAGCACACATTTAAAAATGCTCAATATTGTTAATCATTAGAGACACGAAAATGAAAACCACAAAAAGGTACTATCTCACACCAGTCAGAATGGCTACTATCAAACAGTTAAAAAGAGCAACAGATGCTAGTGAAGCTGTGGAGCAAAGGGAACACTTATACCCTGTTGGTGGGCATGCAAATGACTTCAGCCACTGTAGAAAGCAGTTTGGAGATTTCTCAAAGAACTTAAAACAAACTATCATTTAGCCTAGCCAATCCCATTGCTGATATATGCTCACAATAAAATAAATCATTCTACCAGAAAGACCTGTACTCGCATGTTCATTGCAGCACTATTCACAATAGCAAAGGCATGGAATCAACCTACATGCCCATCAACAGTGGATTCGAGGCCAGGTGTGGTGGCTCACACCTGTAATCCCAGCACTTTGGATTGTCAAGGTGGGCAGATCACCTGAGATCAGGAGTTTGATACTAGCCTGGCCAACATGGCAAAACCTTGTCTCTACTAAAAATACAAAAATTACTCAGTCGTGGTGGCATACACCTGTAGTCTCAGCTACTTGGGAACCTGAGGCAGAAGAATTGCCTGAACCTGGAAGGTGGAGGCAGCAGTGAGTGTAGATCATGCCACTGCACTCCAGCCCAGAGTGAGACTCTGTTTCAATAAATAAATAAATAAATAAATAAATAGATTAGACCAAAAAAGTGTGGTACATATACACCATAGAATATCATGCAGCCATAAAAAAAAGTGAAATCATGTCATTTGCGGCAACATGGATGCAGCTAGAGGCCTTTGTCCTGAGTGAATTAATGCAGAAACAGAAAACCAAATACTGCATGTTCTCACTTGTAAATGGGAACTACACAGTTTTAACTAACACTTCTAAGTGATAGAATTGTGAATTGTACCTCTGACTCCAGACTCAGCCTTTAACTATTATAGTGCTTTTTATGGGGACCACATGAGTACAGAGGTGAAAATACTGACAGATATTGAAAGATGCTATTAAGTAAACAAATTACAAGACAATTCAGAGAAATTAATGTTAAAAATGATAATATTACTTCTCTCACTTACCTGATTTTTAAGTAAACCTATTAGGGAGATCCTTTCTAAAAAGAAAAAAAAAAGAAAATGAGAATGATCAAGTAGATAGTACTATTGAAATAGGTTATTAAAAATGCATGTGGTATTACAAAAGAACCTGTTCTGACAGTAAATGAAATCAGGCTTTCTGTCATTATCGACAAAGATAACTGTGCCTAATTGCAGATATTTATTGCAACCGATTTATTTAAAAAATCATTGAATTTGAAAGCAAAAATAAAAAATAATTTTCTTGTAGGAAATAAATTGATTATTGAACTGCACTAAAAGTTTTTGATGTCTTCTCTGAAAGACTCTGTAAAGAAAATGAAATGAAAAATCTCTGTCTGGCAGAAAATATTGATAAAACATGTCTGATAAAGAACTTATATTCAGACTGATATGGTTTCGCTGTGTCCCCACCCATGTCTCATCTTGAATTGTAGCTCCCATAATTCCCACATGTTGTGGGAGGGACTCAATGGGAGATACCAGAATCATGGGGCAGTTTCCACCATACTGTTCTCATGGTAGTGAATAAGTCTCATAAGATTTGATGTTTTTATAAGGAGTTTCCCTTTTTGCATGGCTCTCATTCTCTCTTGACTGCCACCCTATAAGACATGCCTTTCACCTCCCCATAATTGTGAGGCTTCTCCAGCCATGTGGAACTGTGAGTCAATTAAACCTCTTTTTCTTTGTGAATTACCCAGTCTTTAGTATGTCTTTATCAGCAGCATGAAAATGGACTAATATGCATATGATATAAAGAACTTTTATAAATCAGTAATAAAAACAGAAAGCAACAAATCAAGCTAAATAATTGACAAAAGGTTTAAACAAACACTTCATAAAAAGAGTTTTTATGAAGGACTCAAAGCACATAAAAACAAAAGTTCAGCCTCAATAGCCATTAGGAAAATGTGAGTTAAAACTATGATGAGATGCCATTACATTCTGACTAGAATGGCCAAATGAAAAACAAACAAAACAGATATACCTAGCAATTACTGGTCAGAATGTGAAATAACTGAACTCTCATATATTGCTGGCAATAATATGAAATGGCACAACCACTCTATGGAACTTTGGCAGTTGTAAGTTAAATATACACTTAACATATGATTTGACAGTTTTACTCATAGGTATTTATTCAACAGTGATGAAATCGTATATCCAGAAGAAGAGACATACATTAATGTTGTTACCAATTTTATTTATAATGGCCAATGATTAAGAACCATTCAAATGTTCATTAACAGGCAAGAGAAATGTTTTAATGCGGTATATACAATACTACTCAGGAGTACTGCTCAGAAACAAACTACTGATCCGTACAACAAAATATGAGATGAACCTCAAAAACATTATGCTGAGTTAGCAAAGCCTCACATATAACAGTACACATTGTGACTGTATATATATGCATAAAATTTTAGAAATCAAAGAACTCTCTTATAGTTACCAAAAGCAGATAAGTAGTTGCTTGGAAGGAAGGGCTGGTGGGGAGAGGATGGACTGAAAAGGGCGTTGGCGCTGTGGTCACACAGGTGTATTTGTTGTCAAAACTCTAAAATGTGTGCTAACATGTTGCATTTTATGTAAATTCTACCTCAGTAATATTTATTTTAAAAGGCATAATGTAAAATATGCATATACACATATACACAATATAGTCTCTAAAAAGCAAAGTTATCTTTTTATGTGGCAGTTATTCATATTAAACTTTTTAACCTTCTCAATTCTCTCAACCCATCAGTATAGAAATAGTTGCAAGTCCACATGTCCCTTGTTTCTGTTCCAAATAACTGTTCTAGTTATCCATAATTCACTATTTAAATAGGAGTACATGATATAGAAAATAATTACGTACATCACCCGTCCTAATGAGTGATTTAGAATTGAAGAGCACTGCCAAACAAAAGGTTGTAGATTTACAATTAACATCTAATTATGCCGTAGTGTATGTTTTTAAATTACAATAGAATCTACCAATGGTTTCCTCAAATAAGTCTCAAATTCCTGATAATGTGAACATATACATCATAAATACATACTATTCTTAGGTAATATGCTGTTCTAGAGAAGAATTTAAAAAATTTACAACGACCTTCACAATAGAAGAAACCAGGGAAGTATAAAATATCTCTTAGGCTCCTGTTTTTGTCTACAACATACAATAACGTATGATCTGAATGACTTATGAAATTGTGGGTTCCTCATCATTTAGCCCATACCTTAGCTGCCACCGAAAGAGAGGCCTGTCTTAACTTAGGGTTTCCTAGAATCAGAAGAAGGGAGTGGCATGAAGGATAGAAAGCTCCAATCGCCTGAAAAAGCATCTCAACCAGTTTGTTCTGATACAGGTCAGAAATCCTGATATGAGTATAGATAGACAGAAACTGGCATAGAGTAAAAGGAATGAGATCACAATTTTCAAGGCATTTATGTGGGCCTTGGTCCTGGGGTCTCTCTGTCCTTTGTAATTCAGCTGCATTTTCTGGAGATGTTTCCACAGGGAGAAAATCAACAGGAGAAAAGAGATGAGGGCCACGGTAAATGGTGTTAGACTGAACATAGTCGTAGTGAATTTGACCGACGCTGAAAGTGTTGCAAAGTCACTCATACTGAAATTCCAAGATGTGTTTCCTTCACATCGATACAGCCATTCTTTAAAATGAATGTTTATTTTTAACAGATTTAAAAATAAGAAGACCAAAGTTCCTAGCAGAATCATCAGAATCACTTTATTTACTCTCCACTTCAAATAGAGAAAAGCAGGGCTAGAGAAACTGGCGATTCTGAGCAAATAAAAGATGCTGAGGATTGTAGCAAGCCAGAGACTGAAGTGATTAGAAACTGTCCAGCTAAAAATAATAGTTCTTAATCCTGTTCCAGTCACAAATGTAGCTGGATGATGCAGAAATACAAACTGACTTATTAAAGTTTCCCAGATCAGCCCAATTCTGGAGATTGCCAAGATAATGAGGATGTGATCAACTGGGGACAACTGTCTTTTACTGACCCATTCAATGCAGTTTATGAGTACTATGAATCCATTGCTCAAGTTCCCAATTATGAATTCTGCAATTATTATAAGAGTAAAGATACTCTGCAGGACACTTTCCATGTCAGAACAGAGAAAGTTCAAAGTCTAAAGGCACCGCTGGTTATTCACTGCTCTAAAATGCTATTCATATTCTTTAGTGCACGACGAAATTCTTCTTCCTTTTCCTTTTTCTACTTTTTTCATTGTTGGCTCAATGTCAAAGCAGAAATCTCTAAAGTTTGCTGATCGATCTTCACATGGCTGTTCTGGTGAAATCTTTATTTTTCTTCAATTTCTCTGTTGAGCACTAGCTAAGATATTTATGTCCTCACTATCGGCAGAAATATTTCATAGATGATTTTGAAGCAAACTTAAACACATTTGCATCCATGCAAATAAAGATATATTCTCTTTCATTGTTTTGTACTTTTTGCCTTGTCTAAGCTGTAGAAAATTTGAATCAACCAGCTTGAGTTCTGAGTACAAATACTGCATGATTCGTAGAATATGTAGCTAAATGAAGCTTTTATGGCTAATAGCACAGCCAATGAAGATTTATAAAACATGCAAAGACAGATCTACACATTTCAAAAGAGTGCTCAACTTCTTGTGGAGCTAAAGCTGGATCTTGTCAATACTGTGACTGAAGAGAAGCTCATCTACAGAGCATCCATCTTTCTCATTCCCTGCCTCTTCACTAATTAGCAGTGCTCACCACCATCCCCCATAGGCACCAAATGCCTTCACATTTTACCCACTTTTCCCTTCATATTTCTTTTCTAAACTGAAAAGTGAGTAAAAATAAATTTTACAAAATCAGTAACAGCTACCAAAGAAAACAGTACTGTATTATGTCATAACTTGCAAAGCTGACAACCAAGCAAGGAAACAAATGTACTGTTGCCCCCTTATCCATGAAGGATGTTCCAAGACCCCCAGTGGATGCCTAAAACAGCAGATAGTACCAAATTCTATATGCTATATATTTTTCCTATGTTCACCTCACTATGAAAATTTGAATGTATAAATACATTAAATTTAATGTATAAATCAAGCACATTTAAGATTACAAAAATAACTAATAATAAAATAGAACAATTAAAACAACATACCATAATAAAAGTTGCCAGGGGTGTTGGCTCATGCCTCTAATCCTAGCAGTTTGGGAGGCTGAGGCAGGACTGCTTGAGCCCAAAAGTTCGAGACCAGCCTGGGCAACATAGGGAGACCCTGTCTCTAAAATAAATAAAATTTTTTAAAAAAAGTTAAAAGAAATGTTAAAAGTTTTATATAGTATGGTGTCGCTCATTCTCTCTTGATATCTTACTGTAGACACCTACTTTTGGACTGTGATTGGCCTTGGGTAGCTGAAACCACAGATAAGGGGAAACTACTTTGTTCATTGTGAAGAGTCAAGCTTTCTTACCTCACCCCACTTTTTCAAACAATACCAAAAAAAAAGTGAATTACCAAAATTCTGAAAACGTGGAGACTCAAGAAAAATTGTCTAATTCAAAATTAATGTAAATAAAACACTTTGTTATCTTTATAAGTAGCCATTTTGCTGGATGAAGACAAAGCTATTTTTATTTAATAAACATATACTTTGTGAATTATAAATGTTTGTATTTTATTACTCTTGCAGTCTTCATTGGATAATTTATACAACAGTAAAAAATTTACAAAACAATTTCATCATGTTTGATGATTTGCAAGTTTCAGTATAACTTAAAATAGCTAGGTAGATATTTTCCTTTTTTTTTGCTATGATGGTATATTTGTCAAGACAGAATAGGAAATATCTCCTTTTACAGTTTGTTAGCTTTGCATATTTATGCCCTTTAAATATCTAGCTATGAGGCATGTCTTCTTCCATTTTCACACTTGACCCAGGCCTGAAGAGATCTCATACTTTTTCATTTCAGGGTGGTATTCTTATCTATCTAGAGAAAAGAATTTGGGGATGCTGGTCACAACTTTATAATACCCAAAATCTGCACAAAAAGGGCTCCTGAGGGATGGGACAGTGCTTGCATATGAAATAATGCCACAGTTTTTTAGAACTTGTGACCATAACACATGACAAAGACATAGAGAATGGATAGCAGGCTTGTGGTTCTGAGGTGCATATTCCTGGTGTGTTTCCACAAGAGAAAACATTTAAAAATTTGCCTTAGTGGCAACAACTGATATTTTTTTTAAAAAATTAACAATTGAGTATAGCACATTTAATTTGAGATCATTTGGCCCTGCAATTGGCAAAATTAGATATCAATCTATGCCTTAGTCTGATCATTACAATTCAATTTTCAATGAACTTCCTGAATATTATCTACCTCTTAATGCAACTTAAACTTCTACTGTAAGAGATATTAAAAAATAAAAATATCATGTATAATGAAAAAATATATATAAATTTCATCAAAGAGATGTAGTCTCTTACTTCTATAAGAGAAAGAGAATATATTGTAGAAAAAAAATCACAGAAAGACTTTTTAGCTGTCTAAACTGAAAAGGAAAATGAGGCAAAGGGCTGGAAGTGGAAAGTATAAAAGGTTTGACTATGTAAAGTATTTTTTAAGCCACTGATGAATTCAGTTTGCCAATGTTGTATTAGGATTTTTCCATCTACATATAAGGAATATTGATATTTAATTTTTATTTCTCATATTGTGCCTATCAGGTTTGGTATTAAGTTTGCTAACCTCATATCATTTATTTAGAAACATTCATTTTTTTTCATTTTTACTGCTTTTTTTTTTACATATAACAATTACAGAACATTTTATGGAGTATAAGTGCAATATTATAAAGCGCACATTAATTTAAACACCTCCCATGTCAAGAAAGAGAATTTTGTAAACATACCTTATATGCTGCTTTCTAATCATAAGCCTTGTCTTCATTCCAGAAGTAACAACTATCTGCAATTCAAATCACTTTATTGTTTAACTTTGTATATTTTACATTTAAATATATATCCCTAAGCACTAGCTTGGTTTTGCCTGGTTTTGGATTGCACATGAATGGAGTAATACTGTACATATTCTTTTTGAATTTAACTATTTTTTAATCAATATTTTGCTTTAGAAATTAATCACGTTGCATATAGAGATAGATAATTTATTCAATTGATTCATAGCATTAATGGAATAATAATTCACAATTTGTCTAGTGGAAACACAAAGATGGGTTGTTTTGAGTTCGGAGACTAAGATGATGATGATGGAATTGCTTCTCAACACTGAATAGTACTTGAGTTTCTAAGCCTGGTTAAAACTCAGCCTTTAGGCTAAGATTATCTCAAGGGTATGGTTGTTACATCTATGCTAAAAATTTGGGCTGGATTACATTTATAGACAATGGTTCAACCTACAGTTAACTATTCTTTCAGTTTGACAAGGTAACATCAAGGCAGAGTGATTAAATATCTGGTTTTCCCAATAAAACCTTAAGATGCTCAAAGTATCTGATATTAAGTCCAGAGAGAAAAGCACAGGGGTGAAAAAACAACCAAATATAGCAAATATAAGAAGCAGCAGACCAGACAAAAATTGTGATTTGTTTGTTTGTGTGTAAAGCTGACTGGAATTAAGTAGACTAAAAAATTGAGTTTCTGAAAAAATTGTGCTTCTGAAAGAAATGCCAATCAAAACTAGGTCACTTATGTCCAAGTAAATTAAAATGGAGGCCAGACCTACAGAATCCCTATGCAGACAAAGCCAGTTGGGTCTCATATGACCCTAAAACTACTTGATTTACAAAGGTAAGCAAAAATTAACTTGAGCTATATTTTATAAATGCCTATAATAAAGAAAAACAGAACTTAAACTCAACCAATCAAGACAGCTAACAGGATAGCCAAACGTTTGATTGGTTAGCTATAAGTGTGCTTTATTTGGTCTGTCCTGTGTTTTGCTTTTCTCCTGTGTGTGCCCTATAAAAACGTCCATATGCATTCCTTCAGCAGAGCTCCTGAACCACCCCAGTTTGGAGCTTTTCAATTTATGGACCATCATTTGCAAATAAACTTTAGTGTGCCTTAGTTTACATTTTTAACACATGTTGAGCTAAACCCTGTGTTAGTCTGTTCTCATGTTGCTAATGAAGACATACATGAGACTGGGTAATTTATAAAGGTAAGAGGTTTAATGGACTCACAGTTCTACATGGCTTAGGATGCTTCTCAATCATGGGGGAAGAAAAAGAAAGAACTAAGGGATATCTTACACGGCAGCAGACAAGAAAGTGTGTGCAGGGAAACTCCGCTTTATTAAATCATCAGATCTCATGAGACTTACTTAATATCACAAAAACAACATGAAAAAGACCCACTCACATGATTCAGTTGCCTCCCCTGGGTCTCTCCTATGACACATGGGAATATTGGGAGCTACAATTCAAGATGAGGTTTGGGTGGGGACACAGCCAAAGCATATCAAACCCTATTCCAGAGATATAGTTTAACATATTATGAAGACAAATGGGACATTACAAACAATATAAGAATCTCTGGAGTTTTTTTTCAATCCAAGATGGCCGTTTAGGAACAGCTCAGGATTGCAGCTCCCAGTGAAAGCGCAGAGGGTGAGTGGACGCCGCGTTTTTATTGCCCACAGACTAGGAAATTCCCAGGTGGAGGAGCTCCATGGTCGCCAGCGCGGCTGTTTTGGCCAGCAAGGCTGTGCCGGCCGGCGCCGCTACTTTGCCCCGCGTGGCTGCTTTGTCGTTGCCCCGGAGCAGCAGTTCTCCGTACAAAATACACCGGTCCAGGTGCCCTTTTGGCTGGCGATTGGAGCCACGGAAAGTCGCCCATTCGTCTGTTTAAAAAGGGGACTGAGCAGAGAACCAGGACAGTAGATTCCAGGGCATTAAAAAAAAAAAAAGCGCCACAAACCTCAGTGCCACTGTTTAAGCCAGCGCAGTGAGTGGCCACAGGGGAAAACAAACAGACCCCAGCGCCTCTTCAACAGGCGACTGGAACACCAACTTAAAAAAGGCTCTGAGGCAGGGAGCTGGGCGATCAGGCTCGGCTGGTCCCAACCCCACAAAAGAACAGCAACCAGAAACTCTAGATTGAGACTTTCACAGCAAGCGCAGCTGAGCCCGGGACGGTGCAGCTCTGTGGGGGAGGGGCGTCCGCCATTACCGAGGCAGCCCGCCGTTGCCAAGGCAACCCGCCATTGCTGAGGCAGCCCGCCGTTGCCAAGGCAACCCGCCATTGCTGAGGCAGCCCGCTCTTGCCAAGGCAACCCACCACAGAAGAGAGACTCCGCCTCAACAGAGGCGGGCCACCATCGCCAAAGCAGTTCTAACTACACCCATATAAACAGGACTGCAGGGAAGTTCACTCGGCAGCGGGGCGGAGCCCACAGCAGCTCAGCAAAGCCTCTATAAGCCAACAGTGACTAGGCTGCCTCCTTGCTGGGCAGGGCAGGTCTGAAGGAAAAAAAAAAAAGAAGGCGGCAGCATAACGGAAACTCATAAATAAAGCCCTAAATCCCTGGGACAGAGCACCTGGGAACAAAAAGCAGTTTATGAGTTCTGATGCAGCAGACCTAAACGTACCTGCCCAGCAGCTCTGAATGAACAACAACAGAGCTCACAGCTCACCATTTGAGCTCCTATAAAGAAGAGACCGTCTCCTCAAGCAGCTCCCTGACCCCTATATATCCAAAGAGACACCTCATAAAGGAGAGATCAGATTGACACTAGGCAGGTATCCTTCTGGGACAAAGATAGCAGAAGAAGAAAACTGGTAACAACCCTTACTGTTCAGCAGCTGCTGCAGGTGAACCCCAGGCAAGAGGGCCTGGAGTGAACTTCAGCAGACCTACAGCAGAGGGGCCAGACTGTCAGAAGGAAAACCAAGAAACAGAAATAACCTCATCATCAACAAACAGAATGTCAATCTGAAAGATTTGATACCCAGTCTGAAAGCCAGCAACTACAAAGTCGACAGGTGGATAAATCTTTAAAGATGGGAAGAAA